TAGATTGTCAAATTAACTATTCATAGGAGTTAATATGAAGAGTATACTATATCATTAAAATATCATTAAGTGTTGGGTGTTCATTTAATATGCCTAAACTTAGAGTCTTATATGCAATTGCACAAACTCGAGTCCTAATCGGTTAAATTGTACATTATACATAACCCAATATGGGGATGTTAGGTTAATTTAACGTGTTAATTTGACTTGAGTCGGACTATCAGCCGCTACGACTAGAAGTCACGGGGGTCTCGCTGAGGCAACTGTATATACTCATAAACTTTGCATTGTCGATTTTTGCTATTCATTATAATATTACTACCTATGATTTAATGTGAATAAAAATAACTAATATATATATATATATGGTGCCTTCTACGGTACCCCGAGTGAAATCCGGGGTACCGCATACCTTGAGTATGAAAACGTTATCTAGACCTCGAATTAGCAGGATTTTTGGGCATGATACTATACCCTAACCCTTAATGAGTGAACCCTAGGTCCTAATTATCTAAATCATAAACTATAAATCCTAAGATGGTGCATTAATTTTTTTGCCTATATTTGGAGGAATCATAACCGTCGATTATTGTTTCTAATTAAATTGATCTTGGGGTATAAGATTTAGAGAAATAAGACCTAGATGTTGATCTTTAAGGGTTAGAGTATAGTATCATGTCCGAAAGATCGGTCAATTCAAGTTCTAGATAGCGTTTTCTTACTTAAGGTATTTGGTACCCGAGATTTCACCCTGGGTACTGTAGAACTCCCCATATATATATATATATATATATATATATATATATATATATATATATATATCAAATTTTGTTTAACAAATCATCATTCATTAATACAAATTAAAGGGCAAAATAAAATACATTATTTCATTTACCATGTCGTTTTGCTAACAGCCATTCATTATTCTAACAAGAAAAAAAAAATACCACTTCATTAGACGATCGAAGTCCCCCTTTTCCTTCCCGGCCTCTCTGAAACCCTTACGCCCACAAAACTACTCTGATTAAACCCTTTCGTCTCCCCCAAAAGGCTCGCGCCCAGTCAATTCCGAGAAGGGAATCGAGTATCTCGGAAGGCTACTCTGACGGCGGATTGGTTTTGGCGCATGTAAGTAGTCGAATTCCTGTTTCAATTTCCTCTGTTCTGCATCAAAGGATTTTCTGTGCATGCAATTGTTTTGATTTTGATGTTGCCGCTTGTGCTTTCTCTTCGATGTTCCTTCTAACCCTTTCGTACACCTCCACAGACTCGAGCCTACTAAATCGCTAGCCAAGGAATTGTAATAGAAAGGAAGCTATTACCGGCATCAAATTGATTTCACAGTTCTTAGTCGGTATGAAACAACATCCTTCTTTCATGCTCCTCGTTCCTCTGTCAAAGGTTTTTGTACTGTTCTAATTTGTTTAGGACGCTGATATCATCATCATCCTCCTTGTACATGAGTTTGCTTTTCAAGAGGCAAGGCTGGTTATGATTTTGATCTCGCATGCTTGTGCTTTCTTGGTTGTGTGAATTCCCTTCGAGACATAAGTGCTTCTATGTATGTGTGTATGGGTTTAGATTGTTGGAATCTTTGTTTTAGGGTCATTGTGTTGATTTTTCTATTAAACAAAGTGAGTTTGTGTTAGATTCTTGCTCGATCTATTTCTAGAGATTGATTTGATGATTGAAAACATATGTGAGGGTGAATTTTCCTCTGTAAAAACTGCCAAGTAATAACTAAAGATGAAGTAAGTGGGGTTGGCCTCAGAATCCTTTCTTTGGCCCTGATTTGAGAGGGAAGTTAATATAAGAGCCACATTGAAGAACTTCTGTTCCAATTTTGTTTTTAATTGAATATATGGAGTGATTAATCCTTACATTCTGTTCTTACATGTGTTAAGTCATTAAAAGTACAACTTGTGCAGGAGTTTAAGTAATAGGTTTGCTCATGTTGAATGGGTCTTATATGTGCAGGTGATTTCGACATTCTTCACTGTGATCTAGGAACTCCCAAAACAGGGCAGCAGTGAAGGTTAGTCTTATCTTTATGCATAGTGAAAATGAACAAAGATTGGATGAAGCTAAAGAATAGATTTTCTGAAGAATATATAGCGGGGGTTGAGGAATTTATAAGGGTTTCAACTAACCATGTTGATGAACTTGGTAGAATCAGATGCCCGTGTAAAAAGTGCAATAATTGCTACTTTAAAGTTCTAAGCACGGTGAAAAGTGAGATATTTAGGCATGGCATGGTGGAGACGTATACTAGATGGATACATCATGGCGAGCCATTTGAGGTTGGCAGCAATAGCAACACAAACCAGCCGCATTCTCCTTTTGAGAATGAAATTGAAATGATAGATACTGACATTCCTGATATGCTGGATGATTTAGGCCGAGCTACTGCTTGAAGTTTTCCTTCAACAGATGGGGCAACAACTAATAATCCTTGTTTAGCAAATCTTTCTGGCAATTTAGCTAGGTTAATCAATGATGCCAACTGTCCTCTATATCCGGGATGCAAGAAGTTTTCGAAACTATCCTTCGTCATGAAAATGATGAATAATAAACTACTAACCAATAGTAGTGATAAAGCATTTAACTTGAATCTTGAGCTATTCAAGGATGCTTTACCAAATGGGGACACACTTCCAACTTCATTCTATGAGGTTAAGAAATACATGAAAGATCTCGGTTTTGGTTACACTATAATAGACGCATGTCCCAACAATTGCGTTCTGTTTAGAGGTCCTCTCCAAAATGTAAAAACATGTCCAAAATGTGGGGAATCTAGGTACAAACCTGGTAAACAGAAGGAGGTGGCCCAAAAAAAAGCTCGGTATTTCCCGATAAAAGATAGGCTACAAAGGTTGTTCATGACAAAAGACCTTGCTAAAGACATGAGGTGGCATAAGGAAAAACGTGTTGATGATGATGTACTCAGGCATCCTGCTGATGGAGAAACTTGGAAGCGCTTTGATAGAGATCATAGCTGGTTTGCTTCGGATCCTAGGAATGTTCGACTTGCTCTTCTTAGTGATGGGTTTAATCCATTCGGAAACATGAGTACTAGCTATAGCATGTGGCCTGTAGTCTTAACACCATATAATCTACCTCCTTGGAGTTGTATGACAGAGCCTTTTTTTTTCCTTAGTATTCTGATACCTGGAAAGCAATCCCCGGGTAATAATATACATGTTTATTTAGAGCCTATGATAGAACAATTGAAAGAATTGTGGGAAGATGGGGTCAATACTTATGATGCATATGCTAAGGAAACTTTTCGCTTACATGCTGCATTGTTATGGACAATAAACGACTTTCCAGCGTATGGAATGTTATGTGGGTGGACTACTAAGGGTAAACTAGCATGTCCCGTGTGTAATAACGAGACATGTAGCTTGCGTTTGCAATATGGAAAGAAAGAGTGCTACATGGGTCATAGAAGGTGGTTGGACAAAGATCATCCGTGGAGAAAAAGCAGGAAGTTTGATGGAAAGCCAGAACACAGAGGAAAACCTAAAAATTTATCGGGGGCAGAAGTACTTGAACAGATCAATAGGGCCTTTCCTACAAATATTGCTGCTAGCGAGAGTGGTAAAAGAAAAAGGGGTGCTTCGGAGAATGTATTTAACTGGAAAACGAAAGCCTCGTTTTGGAGTTTGCCATACTGGAAAACTATAGAATTACGGCATAACTTAGATGTTATGCATGTAGAAAAGAACATAAGTGATAACGTGTTAGCAACACTACTGAATATCGATGGAAAGACCAAAGATACAGCTAATGCTCGGATGGATTTGAAACTCATGGGTATTCGAAAGGAATTACAGCTGCAGATATATGGTGATCAATTTAAAATGCCTCAAGCTTCATATACCTTATCTTCTGAACAATGTAGGCAGTTCTGTGATTGGTTAAAAACCATCAAGTTTCCCGATGTCTTTGCCTCAAACATTTCTCGTTGTGTAACTAGTGATGGTAGGTCAATAAATGGTATGAAAAGTCACGATCACCATGTGTTCTTACAACGTCTATTGCCTGATGCGGCACATGCATGGGTTATTGGGGAAAGAAGTCTACAAAACTTTGGCAGAATTGGGTGCTTTTTTCCGAGAGTTATGTACCAAAACAATATCAAAGGCAACTGTTAAAAAGCTGGACAGCAACATAGTTCTCATATTGTGCAAACTAGAGATGTTATATCCACCAGCCCTTTTTGTTGTTATGATGCATCTGCCAATTCACCTACCCCATGAAGTAGAGCTTGGTGGCCCGGTACAGTACAGATGGATGTATCCTATGGAAAGGTAAGTAATAAGGGTAAACTATATAAATCTAATTAACTCTTCTATAGGAGTACAATATAATTGATATCTAATGAAATTATTTGTTTGCATGTCATTAGGTTTTTAGGTACCTTAAAAAGTTTTGTTCGTAATAAGGCTTATCCCGAGGGATCCATTGCTGAAAGATACATAGCAAAAGAGTGTTCTGAATTTTGCTCTAGATATCTGCAAGGAGTTGAAACAAGAGCAATCGATTTAAGGTAAATGTCATTCTGATTCATGCTCACTAAAAATTTGTAACTCCTGTGGGTTAATGATTTTTCCCTTTGCAGAATCGATCTAAACAAAATAAAATTAACAAGGGTAAGCAACAGTATGCTCATACCACTGGAGCTAAATCTCATGATCAAAGAATGTATGAGATGGTAAGCTTTCTCATTCAACAATGCAAAAATTGATAGTTTTTTAGGGTCAGTGTAGCTAGGCTGCAGAACTAGTGAATTAGAGAATAAGAGTGGTTGGTTTGTGTTTGGTTATGTACAACCTTCTTTCTTTCACCTTCCTGCAAATGTATAATCAAACTTGATCTAGGAGAAGAAGAAGCAGTCGACTGAGCAACCAAACATGGAGGTTGGAGATGAACAAGTTGATGAAATGGAGGAGGAGCCCAAAGATATTACACTCTATGCAAATACCCATAAGAGAAATGATGGAAGCTGGGTGAGCGAGGAACCTAAGAAAAACTATGTAAGCATTTCATATCATTTGAAAAAAAAAGTTCACTTTATTTATAGTTTGAGGTGCTACCAAGCCACTTACCTAGATAAAACCATGTTGTGTATATAGGAGGAGATGATAGCCATTCATACCCAAGCAAAAGAAGATGGGAAGTCCTTATCTGGTCGTGAGATTGTTGAGATGGTGCTGAAGAAAAAGGTCAAGTATGGACCAAAGGAAACAGTTCGTTCGACAAGAGAGATACAACTGGAAGCAGAATTGCAAGAGGAAAGGGCTGAATCTGAGAGAAGAACAAAGGAATTTGAGGCCAAGATACAATCCCAAGAGGAGAAGATACAAATTCAGGATGAGAAAATACAACTTCAGGAGGAGAAGTTACAAATGCAAGGTGCGGAAATGCAGCAGCTACGAGAATCACAAGAGAAACTTCAGCAGCAGATGGAGTCATTTGCTGCAACACTAAATCAGAAATGACCATGGATTCCTTCAGTCAAAGGTAACTATCTATATTCCTAGTCCATTGTTCTTAAAGGAGCTGAATTTATATATGTCTCGTTCTCAAGTTGAGTTGTGTGTTGGGACAACAACTATTTAGATTAATTGTCACTTGAACATGGATGTGAGTAAGTGACAAACTATATTCTTTTTCATTGTTTTCTTACAGATGTTGAAGATTATTAGGAGCAAGGATTAGATGGCAAGGGAAGATGTTAAAAATTAGAAGTATGAGCTGTCCATTTTGTCGTAGGATGTTCTCCTTTATGGTGAACCAACGCTAAACTTGTTCGGAAGCCTTTTTCTGGATTTCGTTGGAAGACTATGTTGAAATCAAGATGGTACTGAATTGAATGTTTGGATTTGGATTGAGGGATTATTTTTATTTAATGTGGTTGGATTCTCTAGTTATGACTATGAACACAGGGTTCAATTCTGTCAATTTGTGTGTCATTCATGGTAAATTTTGACAACACATTTGTCATAATACAAAACAAAAATGACACAGACATGTTGTCATAATATCCAAGTAATATAATCTGACAAAACAAAAGTCGTCATTTATTATGGAATTTATGACAAATTTATCAATTGTCAGAAATTGCAATAATGACTCGTAAACCTTCCATGACAAAAGATGATGGTCGTAGTTCTATAGGTATGACAAAGTAAAATTTGTCATAATCCAATAACAGAACGAATATCAATTGTGACAACAGTCGAGTATGACAAAATGTAATTATCATACTTCGCGGTTTTTGTCACATTAAGTTAGATAAAACTTGACATCTCGTGACAAACACCGTTGTAGAATGACAACTGTGTCAGCTTAATATGAAAAATCATTTTGTCATATTAGTAACATGTTTATGACAATTTATAAAGGTCACATTATTGGTAGATCTAGTATGACGAACATCTAAAATTTTTGTCACAGTAAGTCAACGGCGACGGCGATATTACGACAACGTCAATGACGAATGATATTTGTCACAATGGATGTAATATGACAAATTCATAATGTATTGTGACAAAATCCTTGCGTCATAATTGACCTAATTTGTTGTAGTGTTTGGAGATTCATATCATACAATTGGCTAGATGGAAATTGAAGATTAATGGCTTGTTTTGAAGCTGGAGTGTTCCTCTACATATTGAAGTGATTGAGAGCTCGATAGGAAATTCAGAAGACCATTTTTCAACCTGATCAAAAGGCTATACCAAAACTAGAAAACTGCCTGAAAATAGCTAAGTCTGGAAACATGTTTGTGAATCCTATATTGGAGCTCAATTCGAGAAGCATGAATGGGAGTCGAGTCCAGGGGCCTCTACCACGTTAAATTAGGTATCTTTTTATACAAATTCAAGGCATTGGATGAAAGATTGGATATCTGTAAGGCTTCAAACAAAAGGGTCGAAGTTGCTACGAAGGTTTTTTTTTTGGCAGACTTCGAGCACAAGCAAGCTGCCAGAAAAACAGCCTTCGTAGCAACTTCGAGCCTTTTGTTTGAAGCCTTAAAGATATCCAATCTTTCATCCAATGCCTTGAATTTGTATAAACATACCTAATTGTTTGTAGACAAATATACCTAATTTAATATGGTATAGGCCTATGGACTCGACTCGCATCCATGCTTCTCAAATTGAGCTGCAAAGTAGGCTTCACAAACACGTTCCCAGTTTTGGCATAGCCTTTTGATCAGGTTCAAAAATGGTCTTCTGGACTTCCTATCGAGCTCGCAAGTACTTTAATGTGTAGAGTGACACTTCAGCTTCAAAACAAGCCATTAATCTCCAATTTCCATCTAGCCAATTGTAAGATATGAATTCCAAAGTAGGCACCATAAAATTATTTTTACAATGAAACAACAGATTAGGTCGACCTAATCCTATACGAGGTCGACCAGAAAGGAAATGTCACCGTAACATGCATGTCACCGTAGCAAAGTCCAAATTTTTTTTCCAGTTATTACCAGTCTATACCTTATGGTATTGACTGATATTAAATATGACGATACCATATGGTATGAAAAAATTTGCCACATTAATATATATTTCGTTACCACCCAATACCATATGGTAAAGTGTGGTAATATCAATATATATTTCGTTACCACCCAATACCATATGGTATAGTGTGGTAATATCAATATATATTTCGTTACCACACAATACCATACATTATCATATGGTATAGTGTGGTAATATCAATATATATTTCGTTACCACCCAATACCATATGGTACAGAGTCATAATATCAACATATATTATCTAAAAAAAAAAACAGAAGGATGGAGAAAAAAAATCGTCTTCTTTCGCCTCTCATTTCCTCTTCTCATAATCTCAACGTAAGTATACAAATACCCACCAACAAAAACCAGTGGCGTTCAACTCGAAACAAAACCCCCGCGGCCCAGACAGCCGCAACAATGAATTATTAGTTTAGTGGCCATTAAATAGCTAGGCCTATAAAACACAAAGGAACACCTCAACTGGAAAGTAGGTACTTAATAATCGTCATTAGCATTAACTGAAATCCGATCCCAACCCAAAACACCCATCCAAGGCCGAGCCAGCAACGCAATCTCGGACCAAAAAGACGATACAGATCACCAAAAGCATCCCCATTATGGCCACTCGCTTCCTTGTCTGCATTATCCAGCTCGTAATTTTCTCATCAGCCTTCATAATGATGCCCCCACCAACTTCAGCCAAATTGGAGAAGCTAACGCACCTCCACTTCTACTAGTACTACCACAACAACATCGTCGGCCCACGTGCAACCGTCGTCCCAATCAACCCCAAAATCCAACCCGTTGATCTTCGAGACCCGGCCAGCCTGTTCGGCCGGCTGACCATAGCCGTCGACCCGCTGACTTCCGGCCTCAGTCTCGAGAACTCAGACGGTGGTGGGAAGGGCGCAAGGGATGTACGGCAGCGCATCGCAGACGGAGATGTCATTTGCTATGGTGTTCAACTTCACGCTCACTCAGGGGAAGTACAAAGGGAGCAGCTTCTGTTTGCTGGGTAGGAACCCAGTTTTTAAGAACCCTAGGGAGCTAGCCATCGTTGGTGGCACCGGCGCTTTCCGTTTCTCTGAATCAATAAGTTGAATTTTCGAAAATTTCTACCCATTTCTGCAGTTTATAGAAGAAGCAGCTCATTACATACAGTACAAACAATTCTAAATTAATCTAAAATTCTAATACGCTCATTCAAACAACGTAAGCAGAACTTACCTTCAAAAATTTTCTTCTTTGGTGGTGAGCTATGGTGCTCCAGCTGCTGCAGATTGTGTTTGGAAGAAAGAAGATAGAAAGTAAAAGAGCTGCCAGAATGTGCTAAGTGAGGGCTTTTTATCCTCGTAAACTGATGCAGTGGTTCGAGTCTAATACACTCGATCTACACTAGTTCGAGTTTATTAAACTCGATCTACGCCATCCAATAATTTCCCCCTGCACCCTATTCTGAAACATGTCGGACCGAAAGCGACTGGACAGAATTATTGACCAAGTAGTTCGAGTTTAGTGTAATTGAACTACCCTAGTTCAAGTCCTTAAAACTCGATCTATGATAACAAAGAATCTTATCCCTGCAACCTTATCGTGAAGCATGTCGGTGGGCCTGTAGTTCGAGTCTTTCAGAATCGATTTACCTAGTTCGAGTCATAGGGACTCGATCTAGTGCAGATAAAGATCGAGTGTGTTAAAGTCGTTGCAATTCATCGAGGTTTCAGGGGTCGATCTAGCTAAATTGAGTTGCCCGTACTCGATCTACTGGATCGAGTTTGTCTTCATCGATCTAGTGAGATCGAGTTCTTTGCCATCGATCTATGTTGTTCGAGTTTGTCATCGTCGATCTATGAAGTAGTTCGAGTCTTATAAACTCGAACCCTTTGAAACTTGGGTAGTTTGGGAAAATTTTATAAAACTTATGTATTCTAGGAATTATGTATAATTTTTACTGTATTCTGGGAATTCTTCCCCGTTTCTCTCGCTGATACGCTATACTCAAGACCTACTACATGGATATGCAAACGGGCGCCAATACTATCGTGGAGTATGACGGTTATATCCGCCACTATTAACGTTATATCTAGGTTGTGAAGTTACCTTTTCATTCTCAGCGCGCAAATGGGCTGCCACATGCAATTGAAAGAACTCGTAAAATATACTAAACCGTCTTACCTAGGAAAGTGGGTAAACTAATTAGACTTTCTGCGTCCTATTTTCATCGTGGCAACTAGGTCATGCTTTGTTAGTGAAACGTTCTAAATTCATTCTTTTACTTAATTAGCTTGTAAATCCTTCAATTATCTTCCTTCCATTTATTTCTTTGTAAGAGACATTTCCTATGTAACATATACCCACTTCCTAGTAAGATAAGAACGTTGTTTGGGGAGAAATACTCCAGATATCATTGAACTTTTCGAATTGAGGGATGAATACCACTAAAAAAAAGTTAGGGCTTTGGGCACCGTGAAAAATCCCGTCTAGTTCCGTCCATCAGCCTAACGGAATTAATAAAAAACTATTTTTCCTAAAAAAATAATCAATACTATATTAAAATAGACCAAAAAATTAAAAATATTTTTTTGGGAATGCTCTCGTTGGCGCCAACGTGAATGATCTCTACTTCGTCTTCCCATGCTCTTCCATTCCTGGCCGTCAGTGCCAATTTGATGGGATTGAAGCTACTCTTCTCCTATTAGCGGGGCATAAAAGGAAGTTGCATTCGGGATCTCCAACACCAAACTGCGACCAAGTGTAATCGCAGTCCGGGAATGCAGTAAAGTGGCAAGTTCTAATTATCAACCCGGGGTCTAGATCTACTGCCTACTCCGTGATTATCTATTATCTAGCCAACTAAGTAGAGTGATTGTTGATTTAAACTTAAAGCAGTAAGAAAGCAGGAAATAGTTCGGTTTTCTCAAGCAAAGAAGAGTCACTCGGGAATGAGTCCCCCTAGCTCCTTAGTTAGGTTCAATTGTAATTACCCTGGGTTGATTTACTGTTGATTAAACTGCGGAAGATCCGACAGTAGCTTGGAATCTCTTAAGCTGACCAAGCCCTCTGAGCCAATCTACCTGGCAGACGACTAGTCTTCACCGGGATAGAAAGCTGAGGCTATGAACGCAGAACTCCACTACTGGAATTGGATTCCAGTACAAAGCAGCAGATTGACTAACTCTCGTATAGCCAATCCACTACTACCGAAGGTTAAAAAAAAAAAAAAATCCACTACTACCGAATGATGTAGCTCTAACAACCTAATCAGATTCTATCTATCTCAGGTTGCAACAGAAATCAAGAAAAGCTTATCAGACTTCAATCAATTCAATGAATCATGCATCATTCGATTAAAACCAAACAGTATAATCATCCTAAGTCATTACAGTCAAATCTCTACCACATGGAACTAGGGTTCTTCATACCCAAGTGAGAGAAGGGTTCTACTCCATAGAGAGAGAGAGGAAACAGAATACAGAGTAGTCATACTCATAAAGATGAGGAAAATCTGCTTGGGATGTCAATCTTCACTCCTGGGGACGCAATCTGGGCTTCAATGGTGAGAAATCCACTCCATATAGCTCCTAGGGTTTGTCTTCGCTCTTTCTCTCTCCAAAACTCTGTTTTTGCTCCAGAAAATCGATTCCTTCTGTTTTTGCTCGAATCTGCCTCAAAAACCCGATTCTGGGCGAATTACGGGCAGAATTACGACCGTAATTGTGGTCTGCCCGTAATTGCCCAAAACACGCGTTTCGCTTGACTCGGAAGAAGGTATTCACGTTCGTAATTTTCCAATTACCGCCAGTAATTACTTAATTACGACCGTAATTGTGGTGACTCTTGCCCGTAATTGACTCTGCGACAGGAATTCTGGAAATTAGGCTCGACATTGAAATTACGGGCATGCCAGGGGCAATTACGACCGTAATTGTGCAGGGGCTGCCCGTAATTTTTCTTTAAAGCGCAATCCGACCTCCAAATGACCCGAAACTTGCGCCTATGCACCTCTTTACTTGCTAGGACCTGAAACACGCCAAAACAACACAACCTAGCGTAAAATAGGCCAAGGAACAACAAATTCGAGCTAAAATGATCAAGAAACGAGGGTGCAAACATGTGCAAATCCGATGTTATCAGAGAGGCGGTGCGATTTTTGATTTGGAGTTAGCAGCCGCCGGCGAAGGAAGGATGTGTGGAGAGGCACCGGCAAGGAGGAAGAAATCGAGGGTGGCTAGGGATAAACCCTAAAAATATATTTTTTTTTTTATTTTCATCTATTTTCATATAATTTTAATTAACTTTTTTAGAGAAAAAATATTTTTTTATTATCTCCCTTAGGTTGCTTGACGGAACTGGACATAATTTTTGACGGAACCCCAAAAAATCGAGTTTAGTGGTCCACGACGCCCTAACTTTTTTTCAGTGGTATCCGTCCCCCAATTCAAAAGGTTCAATGGTATCAGGGGTATTTCTCCCTATGTTGTTTATCAGAAGTTCCTAAATTAGTTCATATAATGGATGTTAGGTTATGTCTACTATAACAGAAACGATTGGTTTATTATCATAACATGACTCATGATTGGTTCTCCTATAGACAATGTCTTAGCAACTAAATGCTAAACTCTTAACTTATGATTTGTTCCCAAATCTACTATATCCAATTATGAATGTGCTCTTATAAGACTATAATAATGTTTACTATAGACTGTGTCTTACTCATTAAATGTTAAACTCCTAAATCGTCATACTTCATCCGTAAACATTGTGATAATTAAATTAATAAGTAATTATGTATATGATTTATAATGTAAAATAGTATGCATTTGAGATAATTCTAGTGATATTATATTGAAGATGAGATAACTCATATAAGTTTACAAATATAATATAGTCAAATAATCATTCCATATAAGAGTGTAATATAGTTAATTAGTCATGCCCTCCATATAAAATTACAGATTCATATTTGAAAGGCTAAAATTTAGAAAACCCAAAAAATTGAAAACATCAAATTTATTTCCTTCTTTCTTTTCCAATAAAACAAAAAGTAAAATTCTCCTCCTTCTTTTTTCTTCCATAAATTAAAAATACTTAATTTTCCCTCCTTTTTTTCTTCCATAAAATTGAAAGATTCAAATTTTCCCAAAAAACTCCCTCTTCTTTGTCTTCCCAAAAATTTGAAAGCACCAAAATCTCACTCTTCTTTTTAAATCTTTAAATTACCAAATATATTACTTTACTCTATTTATATTTAATTGATACCTTTGTTGAATAGTTAAGTTAACCAAAATTTTGATGTATATATATTATATTAATATTGTCCATGATCTCAATTACTATCTTTATTATCAATTGTCATAACGGGGACTGCTCAATTAGTACGAGGCCTTTTGGGGAGGACTCCCAAAAGTAAAACCGTGCGGGCTTGGCCCAAAGCGGACAATATCATACTAATTGAGCAGCCCGGTTTCGACAAGTGATATCACAGCCTGGGTTGATTCGGGGCGGTTGACGTCAGTTTGGTGGGACCCCCATTCGATGACCTCGGGGTTTGAGATCTGCATATGTCTAGCCAATCAAAGGTTATTCGCGTCTGTTTGGTGGATCCAACGGAGATCCACGTTTGGGTTTGGCGGATCAAGGAAGGTTCGCGTCTGGGAAGCAGATCAAAGAGAGTTCTGCGTTTGGGTAAAGTCCTTGTACCGAGAAACCCATCGATACAATGCGTCTGGCGGATCAAGATAATCGCTGAGGTGAGGACACGAAGTTCGTATTTCTTGTCTTGAGGGGAGGATTGTTATGGGACAATCCAAGTATGACATCGGAAATACAAGGGAAGGAACCATTGTATATAAGTGTCCACCTAGCCCAATTAGTACGAGGCCTTTTCGAGAGGACACCCAAAAGTAAAAGCGTGCGGGCTTGGCCCAAAGCGGACAATATCGTACTAATTGAGCAGCCCAGTTTCGACATCAATATTGACATAGTGCTAATTTTATATTTTGTAATTAATTTTTAAATTCTGTTAAAGAACTTAGTGTTCAAGTGATCTTA